AGCTTACGCGACACGAGCGTCAACCCGCGACTACGCGCGGCAGATCCTAAATATTGTATTTTAATGTAGCCTCGTCCACTGAAAGCAAGTTTGAGCGGGCGGCTATGAGCGTAATCGTGCGCGCGCTACAATTCCGAGCAGAATGGGATTTACGCTCGTAGCCGCTTGACGCATCTGTCTGCAAAAAATATCTGCTGAAAAAGAAAAGTGCCAAAAAAGGAATTGAAACGAAGAAATCTTCTGATAAGAAGGTGAACAATGCAATGAATCATGGTGATGCCTCAAAAACAAATCAGGGGAAGAGCAAGGAAGCTGATAAAGCATATTCGAACACTGCACCTGTTGTACCGGTCGAAATGGGGCCTCTATCGTCTACAGCCACCAGCGGAAAACGCAAGAGAATAACTTCTAATAAAAAATCGAGCGGAAAGGCTGATTATTGTGATGAAGAATTCTTGGAAATAGAAAGAGAAAAAGTGCAGTTGTTTTCTGAGAGTATAGCGAGGAATAACGTCATTGTTCCATCCAGCATACATCTCTTTCCTATCCATCCCCATCTAACGACGCCTACCCGTCATCTCTTTCGTCTTGGATGTCAGGTCAGAGAACTAGACCTTATTCTGATTGAACACCCTACTCATGCAAGAGACATTAGACACTACTCCACTATCGTTCCGCCGGAACAGCCTGCCCCAACAACCACAATCTTTGTTGACTTTGCAAAATCTGAATGATCCTGGAGAGTCAGCCCGATGATTCAAACCGTCAAGATGATCTACTAAAGCACCCTTTTGTTATATGAATTTTTCTTACTGTAGTGCTACACTGAGGCGTTCTTCAGGTGGTATAGTTTCTCTGAAGTTAGACTCTTTCCTGATAATTGCTTTTATAGAATTCAAGATTTATAAATAGGTCTGCGGACTCATTCGGTAGTAATCAAAAAACTTCGGAGGGTCCTTTTTTATTCGCGATAGAGATGATTGAATTCGGGTTTACCCAATACAATCTTCTTTTTTGAACTCTTTTCCGCCTTCTGTAAGGAGTTTCTAAAAAATATCCGCCCTCTGCATCCATTTCAATATTTAATCGCAAAAAGCAACAATGACTATTCAACCTCGCGCGTCGCAACTACTGTCAGTGAAACAGCTTGCAATGGACGACCCCTGTCGCACAAGATCGCTTATCTTATAGCCGTTTGTTGACGCCCGTATCGCGTAAGCTCGAAGCCGCTTGTTTTCGCTTCCAGTGGACGACCAGCCTTAGTGTGGGATGATTTTTGTGTGTAAAATTTTGATGTTTTGTGTCCTGGCATAACTCTAGATAGCGCCATAATGTTAAGAGCTAGCGCCACCTCCAAGTAGTGTGGGCTGTGGGCGCAATTTTTTCTAACTTTTCTGAACTTACATTATATTTGAGGAATGCTGTTGAAAACTTATGCTTTAAGTTTTTTAGACATACTACCAATTGTCATAACAACTTTAATATAAATTTCCAAGGCGTATATTTTAAGTATAAATACCGTTTTGAAAATCCTCCGCTGCAATGATGAGGTTCATCTTCGGCGGTATAAACATTTGTTTTGCACGTGTAAAATGTCCCTGGCAATTGTTTATCCCACCGACTGTGATATATATGCGCTGCTATGCGTTGGTATTGGGCTGAGAGCATCATCCCACGGCTACCACGTGCAACTGAAGAACTATATCTCGTCAATTACAAGGTAAAGCCCTGAAGAAACGGCCGTACCACTGTAGCTGTCAAGTCAGGCGGCAACCTTCTATGACGGAGTGCAAAAGCTTATGGTTTGATATAGTAACCACTATAATGGTGTTAATTATGTGGAATAGTAAATAAACGTGTGGCCTTCCATGTGTATTGTAAAAATCGCTCAAAAAGTGTACTTCTTTTGTTTGCATATCGAAACGATACTTAGCTACTAGGCATCGTAGTTGGTCACTTTATAACGGACAGGAGGTCAACGTGTTTCATTCCTCCGACACCCAGATGGATACCGGAGGGGGGCTGCTCAGGGTTTCCTGTCCCTCTTCAGCCAGAGAACAGGAATGTAAGGATGGGAACGGAAGGAATGGAGTTAGGGTGCTAAGAGGGAAGAGTACTGCTCCAGCATTTGCCTCGTAGATTTCAACATATGGGAAGCTACGTACGACTGAGTAAACCTCTCTGACAAATTCCCAGGCAGAGCAGTCGGCAGCGGGAATCGCACCCGCAACCTCCCGAATACCAGTCGGCAACTCAATCACTGCGCCATCGGCTTCGCAGTCGGTTTATAACTACTACTATCGCAATAAGTGGGAGGAATTGAATGACGTGTCAATAAAAAAGGTGCCCCTATGTAACTCTTGTCTCATCGGTATTATTGTGTTATACTCTCTATAGTCTCTCTACTTCGATTCGTACCTAAAGTGCCTTTTTTAGCTTGCGTGATTCCTGCCCAAAAGCTTTTCAGCTCTTCCTTTTAGCATTGGAAATGCTTATGTTTTGTATAAGGGTATGAAGTGGTTCCAATCGGTTCAGCCGTTTAACCGGAAATGAAAGTACAGACAGATAAATCAACAGACAGACCGACAGACTACATCGAGATTTTGTTTGATCCGGATTCCTGGTACTCTAACGTGTATTTCCGTTAAACAATTCACAGATTTCGCAATTCATGCAACCATCGGAGATATTGGAAACGAGAACCGCACAACGCCACATGTAAAACACAAATAGCCCTTTTATTCACCCGGGATATCGTAAACTTTCTGAGTGATAAGCGTCGTAACATGCTTGTACTACTATCGTAAGAGATGTGTGAGAATTTTAGAATTGCACACTATTAACTCAGTACCGTATCCACAGTATCCGCGACTTTTCCTTAACCTACCGTCCCTACCGATTGCGATCGAGTACAGTACAATCATCACTTGATGCGACACTGTGTATGTGGTGCTAGTGCGACGAACTGGGGTAGTGCGCGCACCTCGCTAAGCTTTTGAAATTAAATAATTATTATCGGAATTATAATTGCAGTTAAATAAATAAATTATAGTCGAGGCCAGAGGTAGCATTGTAGCAGGGGTCGGTCTCGGAAGCCTCAGGTAAGCGCGACCGGCGGCGGCTCTTGCATAGAGGAAAATGTAAATTCCAAATCGGCCGGCGTGTCGAAAATTAAAACTGTTTAATTAATTGTGCAGCCTGGTGCTGTCCTAAAAATCTAGAATTGATATCAAAATTCAAATTAATTAAGCGCGCTTCAAATGACACCCGGCTCAATCTAGTCAGACGAAGTTTGCCGCAACAGATAACATTAGCTACCGGTATTTATCCTGATTCAAGTGGTCGGGTTAAAATTTTCCAATTCGGTGGCCCTATTGTTACCCGGAATTTCGGGTCAATCGTCAAGGTCTGCGATAACGAGCGAACTGCATGGCCTTGCAGCTTTTAATGCTCGTTTTAAAATTTACCATAGAAAACAAAACCTTAGATCATATAAACATGGATAGAGCTATCTCATAAGCTCTACTAAAAGACAACCGTCGCCAACATTCCAACGTGCATTTTTATGCCTATCATCTTTTACTATTACTATAGTAAGTTGTGATGTATTTATCCTTTGCCGGGTTGATTGTAAAAGTGCGCAAGCTTGGCGATTGTTAGAACGTTTGTCCGCTTGACATCGTATATTCGCAAACAGCTGTTTTTGTTGTTTAACCTTGCTTGACTTTACATGGTTATATATGAAACTAAACTTTTAATAAGTACTCTTCTACCACTAAATTGTCCTATAAAGATGTATTTATTCATGTATTGAGAACCTTTTTTACCCTAAATAATAAATATTGCATTGTTTATTAACATTGTGAGGTTAAAGATTTGAATTTTCTGATTGGTTACTAACACTGAAACTGTACATGGAATAACAACATATAAATTGTACGTCGACAAGAGAGATACAGCACAAAAGTATGTAGAGTCTTGAATCAGAACATGTTGGCGACATAGTGTAATTGCATCGCTCCATCCATGTTTATATGATATAAGAACAAAACCTGCCAATAATGTCTGAAATTCTAAAATATTAATGTGTCCTCTTCTTCTCTAGCAAGAGAGCGTTCGGCGGTTCAATTTATATATTCCTACTGGAAAGGTTGCAAAGAGAGATCGATTCACTACGAAACTTACTTGCGTTATCGACGGTATAAAACCGCGGTAAGGCAAATATAATTAAACAAAATGAAAACACACAAAGGTAACTCTTCGTCTCTTAGAGCAAATAAGTAAATTCAGAAACTCTACCTCCTCCTTTCTTAGACTTAGGGGGGTGCAAGTTTATCATTTTGGCGCTAGGTCAGTAGGACACAAAAGGTCAAAATTCGTTAAAACAAACAAAATGATGGTGCCCCGCCCCTCCCTCCCACACTATTGCAGGACAGCGTTCGCTGTCTAGAAAAGCATTATTATTTTTGATTCCATTACTACTTATCTTTGTAAGAGGGGATTTTCTGCTATGTTGGTGCTATAAAAACCAATACCGACTGCGTTTAAAATTAAGTACAACTCAACTAAACAACAACTACACCATTGTTCGCATCTCGGTGCGCATTAACTAACTATTTACTAAGAAACAATATTTTTTTAAATAATTCGAATTTTTTATTACTTTACCTGGTAAAATTAACCGTTTTTAAAGATTTATTAGAATTTTTAACAGTTCAGTGGTACACGACGGATTTACAATATCACGAGCGGTAGGTACGCGAAAAAAACTTAGAGAACCGTTGATTTAGACCATATACTCGTATTGGTTATAATAGCACAGATCTGTGGTAATAGTGACGAAAATAAATCGATTTGTAGACTACATAGCTTACGTGCACAATCTTCATCAGATCACACCATCACAATTAAAATCGGTAGACAAATTTTGACTTAATTTCACATAAATTGATTGTGTTACCAAATACAACATTATTCTAAAACTGTATTATTAATTTCAGGGTTACGAGGGATCACTACTAAAAGTAACCAGCAAAAACGGAAAAACTGCATCGGTAAGTTAATCCTCAATGGGGATTTACGATAATTCAACCGCTTTAACCGGATTGGTAGAAATCACCATAGAAACAATTGTGGCAATAAACCATAGCAAAATCTACCAACCCGGTTTAACCGGTTGAATTATCGTAAATCCCCAATATTGCAAGTTTTGATGTATCTGCGTATGTGTGTGTATACAATTATACATGGTGTTCCTAAATATAGTGTAAAAACGGAGTGCTCTAATGCTTAGGCTTATTTTATGGCTAAAAGTTCATATAAACATAGATCCGCAAACGTTTTACAATTTAAACGTTTAATATATAAAATATATACAGGGTGTTACACGACCGTTCGAAAAAAAAATCGGGTTGTAGAGGGCATCAAAACAAGCACTTTTTCCAAATAAACCGCGGGTCCAACGTGTTTCGTTTGGGAGCCACCCCCCAAAGAGTGTTGAAATCTGCATTTGTTCTTTAATTTTTTTCTCAGCAACCATAAGAGTTACAAAGTCGGGTGGCATGTCTTTGAATAGGTTTTTGGGTATGCTCTTTCCGATTTTGCAATTTTTTTTTCAAAATTCCTACCCCTAAAGGGCGCACCCCTAAACTAGGGTGCAAAAAAAATTCTGATTTCGACGAAATTTGGTATCTGGGGGTTTTTAACATGAAAATCACGAATCTGAAATTAGTTTTTGAAAATTCGAAAAAAAAAGTTCCACTGCAATTCTTGGCGGGACAACGAAAATAGAGATAATTCCACGAAATTTGTTGTGTACATACTAAACGAGTTAAGGAACAAAACTGTCGAACAGTTTTTTAAAATAACTTTTCAAACAAAAGTTATACTCATTTGAATGTTGGTCCTTCGGGTCGCGAAGTGTCCCAAGCCTACTAGTAAGCCATAATTTCGCATGTGTTTTATTCAGTTGAAGATAATCTTAAAGGTCACGGTTCATTTTTTCTAGAAAACATTTGGCAGTTCTGAAAAGAACTTTTTTTGTTTTTAGTGATCAGTAACGGACTTCACTTCTTCCAAAAATGAAGCGATATGCTTATGCAACATTTTCAAAAATGCCACCGCCAGCAGCCACGCACAATCTGCATCTCCTTGGAACAGAATTTGACGACTTCAACACCATCATAGGATTGGTTTTAATAACTTCTGAAGCTGCCATCACGCGACCAACCATGCGAAATTATGGCTTACTAGTAGGCTTGGGACACTTCGCGACCCGAAGGACCAACATTCAAATGAGTATAACTTTTGTTTGAAAAGTTATTTTAAAAAACTGTTCGACAGTTTTGTTCCTTAACTCGTTTAGTATGTACACAACAAATTTCGTGGAATTATCTCTATTTTCGTTGTCCCGCCAAGAATTGCAGTGGAACTTTTTTTTCGAATTTTCAAAAACTAATTTCAGATTCGTGATTTTCATGTTAAAAAACCCCCAGATACCAAATTTCGTCGAAATCAGAATTTTTTTTTGCACCCTAGTTTAGGGGTGCGCCCTTTAGGGGTAGGAATTTTGAAAAAAAAATTGCAAAATCGGAAAGAGCATACCCAAAAACCTATTCAAAGACATGCCACCCGACTTTGTAACTCTTATGGTTGCTGAGAAAAAAATTAAAGAAGAAATGCAGATTTCAACACTCTTTGGGGGGTGGCTCCCAAACGAAACACGTTGGACCCTCGGTTTATTTGGAAAAAGTGCTTGTTTTGATGCCCTCTACAACCCGATTTTTTTTTTTCGAACGGTCGTGTAACACCCTGTATATGGCAACCCAAAATACAATTTCAAATACGAACTGTCCAGACTATACAAACAAGAGATTATCCAAATAAAGCCCCGCCCTACTGGATCATTTTAAAAATTTTACTTTCATTTAGCTAACTACAGAAAATTGATTTTTATTCCGATAACGGGCGCAGATAAGAAAAAACCACAAAAGACGAAACAGTTTACAAAGAAATCAGAAAAACAATTTTTTATAATCTACCAGTGGCGCACCGAAATCAAGTTTAGAGGTATAAAATGGCACACGACCCCTGAAAAAAACAACACCTTGTAGATTCTTACTACCATTGACCTGACCAATGATGTAAGCCCTTCAGCGCAACTAGTATTTCAAATTTGAGCAAAATATCTCAAAAACATTTTAACAACCTGTAGGTGGATAACATAAGGCGTTTGCGAACCTATATAAACTATAAACATTCCGTTTTTACATCATATTTAGGAACACCCTGTATATGTTATGTACCTAACAAACTTAATGTTTTTTGTTACATTTATGACATTATTAACAAAATGACAAACGGGATTATAACGGAGGGCGGATGGGGCGGGGCGCAAACAGCCGCAACTCGCAGCACGCGTATCTCCGTCTTGTGATGCGAAAATGCTTTGTTTGGCCCCCTATAAAGACACACACAGTAAACGTATCTGGAACTAATTGCAAGGAGGCCGCTCATTATCGGTAAACTCCAGGTACACTTGAAATCGGGACTCTGGGACCCTGCGTCAATGATTTGTGAATCAATTTTGGACATACGCTAAAACACTGTAAGGTAACATTTATCACATGTGCGAAATCGATAAAAAAAACTTCTCTGAAATTGATTCCCAAATCAACGACGCAGGGTCACAGACTCCTGATTTCAACTGTACTCAATTTTAGAGAGTGACTGGACCATCACAGACGCGACAGCGCTAAATATAGAGCTCAATTGAAAGTATGTCGTGTATGACTTATTATTCAAAAAAGTCACAGAATTAAAATGTAGGAGGCATACCTAAGTTGATATTGATATGTAACTAAATAATTGGTGAAAGATAGCACCTGTCAATAAAGTTGATGAGAGCTAGGTACTTATCACTTGCTGGTTTTTTTAGATGACAGAAGGCGGGTTCTTATTAGCCTATTTTATTGATCAATATCATTGAATCTATGCCATTGAACAGGAAATTGAATAGAATATTTGTTCACATGATTCAAGAACATTGACTATTCTGTCTAGACTGTGCCAGTTTAAAAAATGGCTGCAAATCGAAAAATTGTGCACGAAGGCGTTCGTATTATTTGTGAACATTTAAAAAACGTCATAAAAAATAAGAAACACAGAAAACCTCGTCGTGGGTGGATCAAACCCTGGATCTTAAAACCAAGATATTATATGAAGGTGCTTTAGTAAAACTGTTAGTAGGATTGGCAACAGGTGACATTGATATAAAAATCATTTAAAAATGACAGAACTGAAATGTGACATTTTTTTTAACATAAAATGCCAACCTACTAGTTTCCACAAAAAACACCTGATTCACCTGAACGAAACAACGCTCGTTTTCACGGTCAAAAACTGTTCAGTGAAATTGAATCAGTCCCATTGATATACGAAAAGTAGAAATGTCTTTCACTTTGATTAAAACGCAGGATGGTTGAGCAATATCGTTGAACGGACGTTCACATTAGACTACTTACATGAATAAAATAGACTAATAAGAACCCGCCTTTACATTTTGTCGGATTTGTAACAGGAGCACTGAACTATACTGCTGTGTTTATTTCGTCTGGCAGGATGAAATTTTCGGAAATCCTAATTAAGATGGACAAGGGCGGTCTCTTTTTTATGTAATTAACTTTTGTAATTAAATTTTATTAATTTGTTGTTAGTCTATGTGACGGCACGGAGATTATTGTCATACGAGAAAGCGGTCAAGGTTGTTTTTGTTTACATTTTTATTTTATTTAACGTTGACATTACTGGGATTTGGTTTGGTCTTTATTTGTTATCAAATGCAAATGCTTAATTTATAATTGACAGGTGGATGTGATTTATCGCCTTTTCTGTGTAGTTAAGAGAGATGAAATTTTATTTTTCCCAGAATTTAAGTCTCTTAATGTCTGATAATAAAATTGATTTATAAAAATTAGTCGACCTCTATTTTTTGGTCTATTAATGTACGTTGAGGGGATAGTCTTTGTTGTCAACTGTGTAGGATTGGTTGTTATAATTTTAATTTTCGGAAGAAGGGTTTCGCCTTAAATAGGACGTCAAGAAGAAAGCTTTTGCCACAATCTACGAAGAACTACGTTTCATTCAAATTTAAAATCGCTTTTAGCCAAAGTTTACGCCGTACTACGTTTCGTTGAGATTTGAAATCAGCTTTTAGTTACAGTCAACGCAGAACTATTTACGTTTTGTTGAAGAATTTAAAATGAGCTTTTTGCCAGAGTTGACGCAGAGTCGAAAATCTCCTCTGTGCTGGGGAGAAGTTTTATACCGTGATAATAAATAAAAGTAAAGATCTAGAAAGGTTTTTGTTTTGGTGTTTTGTGAACGGTCTTTCTGGCCTACGCACCAGTGTACACAGCATTCTTATTTGTGGCGCCCAATGTGGGGCACGCAGCAATACTTATACTATGCACTTGCACTTGCAGTCTCTGCCATAGAAATGTAGCGCGCCGAGTGAGATAGCACAAGGGGGATATCTGTCATTATCACTCATTGGGAAACTGATTATTAATATATTCAAAACATATCAAATAGGCTGCTATATGCATGCGCTCGAGTAGGGCAGAGATCCCCCTTGTAGCCCTCTCTCTCGGATCGGGCTGGCGGACGGAGCGCGCGTTCCAGTTACAGTTCAATGAACAGGAGATACGGGTCTCAGTAGTGCATCCTTTTCTAGTGTGTAGTATTTGGGGAAAAGGTGCTTGGTAAGAAAACTTATTTTAGAGATACATATGCCGATGACTCTTCAAAACTTATTACGACACTTGATAGATGTTTCAAAGGCTATGATTTACGTAGCTACAACATTTCATTAAAACTTTTGTTAATTTCTCCTTGGCTTATTGAGTCTGAATATCACTTATTTTCACTAGGTACGTAGATTACAACAGTAGAATAAACCCACTGTAATTTGTCGCCTTTGTGCTCGTTCACAATGCTACTTGTACATGCTGCTATCCTCTCACACAAAAGAAAACAACCAGTACGCATAAAATAT